AGATAGGCAAATAGCTACATGATGTCAACTAACAATAACAGAAGTAGAAACACACAAGACAATTTTATTAAGATCCAAAATACCATCAATTAACCGATAGTGAACCCAATCAATACGGAGCGGTAAGGCAGCCACAAAAATTCAAATCAAGACACACACCTCCTTCATCAACAATCTCGAACATTCCAACCAGCCGTCCACCTATAATAAAGAAAACAAAACTTTTCTACTCACCAAATCTTTATTCATTATTATCTGAAAATTAAAACGAACAAGACACTGCTGACTGTGGGCGTTCCTGACCTAAATGAGACAAAACACGAAACTATTCAAACAAACAAAAAAGGAACAAAGAACTGCTCCGATCTTATAGACAAGCAATTTCCGAAGTAATTGGACTCGAAAGCTTCACCTGTAAATCAACTACCACCCATTTAAAATTCTTTCAATTTTTAAAATTCAAACAAACACTCCCAATAGTTACAGAATATTAATATACTTTTTACAAGACCAAGAAGCTGCAGAATACCATACTTTTAAACCGCAATCAGACAAACCAATCAGAGTGGTAACAAAAAATATTCACCCTACTATACCGATTCTGCATGCAGAAATCTCGACAGCATTAGAAAAAATAGGTTTTACTGTAAGACAAATAGGTAACAAATATAAAGCAYCAACAAACTAAGATATTATTGCCTTCTATTCTTTGTTGATCTTGCCCCTGAAACTATCAGTAAGGAAATCTTCAATGGCGTGTTGGCCATTTTATTYGAATTTTGAAACAAAGTATCGATATACCCATGTATTATATTACCTTGTAAATATTTTAAATTAGAAATGTTATTAATTTTTCTTATTTAGTTATTGATTTACCTAACATTGAATTAGATCAATATTGTAGGTATCGATAAAATGTATTTATGTACAATATTATATTATKACCAATTATATTATGTTCTATTGGTAGCATTTAGCTAAGTTCTTTTTTTTTACGATTTTGTGTTGGTATTTGGTAATAATAGAAATTGACAAAAATACATTGATTGAGTTTAAATATGATTTTAGTTTTAACWCTAAACCAACCGTGACAAGAATTTAATATTCATGGATTTTGCAATTTAGAGTGAAGTGCCATCAGTTACAATAGACACTGGACAGTAGAAATTAAGATAAATAAACATTTTTGAAAAATTATCAAAATAAAATGATGATTTTCGAATTCCAAAATTAAATTAACTACTTATTAGTTTCAACTGTGAAATTATAYTTCTAAAACAGTCATTCAACTTGGTGGAAGGGCCGTATGAAAATAATTAGATATTCGTTTTTTGGTAAAATGAAAAAAGCATATTTTTTAGGTTGTCACCTACTTTTATTAGTTATTAATGTTAGCTTAAATTGATTTAATAACCATTATTATTATTATTATTATTATTATTATTTGTATTATTATTACGCTTAATGTCTCTATAGTAGCTTGTTTTGTATTTGGCTCTGTATATTGACGGTCTTGGAAAATACATTGAGTTTAGCAAACAGTCATTTATGATGACAGGCAAATGATTTTAATACTCAGTCGATTTTCCGGTTTTCTACATTTTATTTATAATATTACAATAATAATAGCTGGAGAATTGAAGACTAATGGACAGCTTTTTAGGAAAATGTGCTGAGAATTGAATAAAATGATACATCCCGCAGGGTTTTGCTTGACCTGAAATTTGTCGCTCGTATACTAAAATATAAAACAAGTGGAAACGCCAGGAAAAGACAAACAACCCGTGACTCATGAGTTTTCACAACGAGAACACTATGGTAATAATAATAATATTAATAATAATGATCATACTATCATAGCTGCTTATATAATATTATTCACCCCACTTACTTATCAATCCGGCAACGGCTCGTAGCTTGTCTGGGTTTCTGCCAACCAGCAGAACGTCCATCCCATGATCGATAGCCAACTGCTCATATAACATACGAAATGACAACAATACAARTTTAAAATAAGCGATATRCCTAGTCTACATTTTAATAATATTTATTAATTTAGGCTTGAGGACATATTATTACTCTAGAAAAATACACAAAATAATATATACTTATATTCGTGTAGATATGAACCAACAAATCCTATTGACGAATATAAATAAGATAATGAGTGTATTAACTTTTATAAAGACTGATATTGATGATGAAAAGCAAAAAGATCAATCATTTTTTCACGATACTGGTATGGAAAATATATAAGTATACATTATAATGAAAATTCGGGTTTTTTTTTTCAAAATAGTTTTTAAAAAAGATGTGAGCAAATTAACAGTCTAGCAAATAAAAACCTTAAAATATGAAAAATACAATATTATGATTTTAGATTTCTCGTACATTTAATCTCAAAAAGWAATTTTTATTATTTTACCTTGCTAATTATTATTTAATTAATAAAATCAGACATGCAAATGCAAATGTTATAGATTATACAACGATATACATACTTGAGTTATGTTGGGCCTTTATGAAATAATCATGTACGCGAGTGACGATAGATTTCCCGACACCGAAGGCAAAGAACGACAAAGTTAATGATTAAAAATGATTTTTAAATTATTATTATCGTCGACGTATATTATAGACAAACTTAGATTACACGAATTCACGCACGACGAAATCGTGTGACACCAGGTATAACGCACGCAATATAATTAACATAAGTATTAATTTACACTCACTATTTCCATCACCGTTTATTAACGTAAATTCTATTTAAATAATATGCATCGCAACTGCAGTAGCGTGTTAACATAGTGTCAGCTGCCGATCTAATAGATTGGCTGTTCCCCGTGAAAAGGTATAGATCTCAATAAGTTTTTAATAACAATTTTTTTTT